GGTTCCTAAGACCTGTGTTTAAAGGCGCAGGCTTTTTGCTCCAGAATCGACCATACACCAAAATCCAAAGGATTGAGATCGGGGAATTTAAAGGTCAAAATTGCTTCGCCCAAAAACCCGGAAGCGTGGTTTCACAACAATGCAGCATCTTCTTTGCGCTGTGGGCTAGAGCCCAATCCTGCGGAAGGTTTAGCCGACGTTCATCGCGTTCCTTTCTGCCCAAGCGATCACCGCTTCCTCCAGCCCAGAAGCCCATAAGTTGATTTTTTTATTGCCGGTCACACTTCATGTGGGTCACCCTGCATGTACTAGGTAGATGCAGCTACTGGTAAACTTCCTAATTCCTGGTTTTTTTTTTGGATTTTTCTGCAACGGTTTTTGAAACCTTACTTCTTGGAGTATTTGAGTTGCACAGGGGCTTCGAGCCAGCACATTCAGCTTAATCCGAATATCTCTAAAGTACGCCTAAGATAACACAGTGCGTACATCTGCCACTCAGCTAAATGTCCAATTAGTTTCAAATTCATTAAATCTGTTTACCGGCTCATAGCGGTTTCCTTGCTCTTACGTTTCATCATGAGCCAGTAGAGGATGTCACACCTCTTTGGCGTTGCGTCATTGTACGGTTACATCCTGCCTCGGTTGTTGTAGTGTTTTATTTGATCGGTTAGCCCTTCTTTATGTCTGAATGTCCAACTAAGAATATTGATGTTTCTTTGTGACTCTACCAGGGCTCTTGGTAAACTTCAACGATTCGCTGAATAACACTGTACGGTGATAGGGACATTTATTAAGATAATTTTGGTTGTATGGGCGAGAAAGATCACGGAAAAGGTCTAAAAGGAAGCCCTAATCGCTCTTAGTAGCAGGTTTCGGTCATTGCCCGAGTTATTGAAGTGGGTGAGAGTATACGGTATGATACCGGCACAAAGGCTCGTCAAGTATTCACCTTGAGGTTATCTTGTCGATAATGATCCAGCAAAAAGTGCATGGCGTAATTCATCGCCAGAATCAATATCCGGCATCCTTCCACGAAATTCATACGCCAGACATTGCGTGTTAGGAAGGTAATGAAAAAATTACAAGTACTCAAAAATCAGGCATCGAAACTGAAACGAGTAGGTGTTTCTAGATAAACACTGACTGCTGCATCTTCAGCTCTTAACTGAGTTTCTTTCCCGTTCACCGAGCTTTTCTTTAATAGCTAGAGTTTGTTGAATGTGCTAGTGCGAAGGCTCAAGATGGCTTGACAAAGCCCATTCAGCCCCTGCCTTCTTCATTTCTGGCCGTCTGTCACATCTGTCAATCTATTAGGCGTACAAACACTTCTCTGTGTTACGTCCACTCGTATTCGCTACCCCTTGGAATGACTTTAATCTTTGGTGTTTATAGTACATCTTGTGATCAACTAAGTTGTCTGAGCTGTATGTTTTGTTGCTATATAGGTCTTGCCTAGCATACAGTGCCTTTCTGTTCCGCTTATTCAATCGTTCATCGAATGAGTTTCAGTGCAACTGCAATTCTATGATGGAAGGATTGCAAGCTCTTCTCTAGACATTCTTATTGACCGTACAGATCATCTAATTCAATAATATGGGAAGCGGTAGCCAAATGTTGCTGCAAACGTATCATATGCAAATCTATAAGTCACTTTCTTCTTTTTTTTGTCAATGATGATTTCGATTTAACCGCTGCCTAAGTTGCTGCCCTGCCTTACTTGAACTATAGCTGATTGGACGGTTAAGGAAGTTCACTAGCATTAGTGCTTCAGTATATGGACCGCTGGCGCTCGAAGACGAGCTTGATTTAGAATATTTTCATTGAGAATCAAGAAGAAATATCTTGTAGGGATTATAAGTTTTGTGGTCCTCTTCCGAATCACTCTTCGACTCTTAATTGGTCATTCCTTCAGTCAAAAATCATCCTTTGTTGAAGATTCATGTCCTAGCTACGATCAAGAATGAGCATGTGCTCACAAAAGGGTATCCCAGACCGTTGCTTATACTGATTCATTTAAAAGAACGTTTTTGGTAGGATGTGGACCAGTGACAGATAAACGCTGCAAATGTCAAAGCTCAGAACTTATGAAATGCAATCGGTTCCGAAGAAGTAATCCTTTTTGAATATCATTTGTCTAGCTCGGTACCCACTTCATCAAGTTTTTTTTAAAGTAAAATTGTGTCTCTCTCCTTCCTTACTCTTGACTTGTACGAGTCCAATGGCATTAAAACGTCCAGTGTTCCATCTAGTCAAAGTGATCAACACGGAAAGAGCTTTTTTCAAACCCTCCTTGGTTTATCTGTGACGCAAGGTAGTATATTACGATGGATCGTGTGGGTTTGGCTTATCATCAGGGATGAACAGGGGATTTGCTCTTCCGGTCGATAGCTCGCTCCTATGGCAAACACGATATTCGCAGAATTCAGCGACGTCTTGAAACGATGTTCTACTTACAGGGTTCTCGGACTCGCGTTCTTCATCATTCCCGATTTCAACACGCACATTCCGAACCAAAGCTGAATATGAGGTAAGCTGGTTCCTTCCCACCGTGCTTTCTAATGGAAAGCGATCAAACTCGAAGATATCGATCGTTCTATATCCTCTGAAGCCTCAGAAATTTCTTGAAGATATTCTCATATCGTTGTTTGACTGGCTTCATCATTAGTATAACGGATTCTGTTATTCATCGGGAAGAAATGCAGGGCTTATCTTGTTAGTTAAGTGCATCATGTTCACAGAATTCCTAGGGATAAGCCGCTTGCGACATCGAAAGGAAACGACGGGACGGTGGCCAGTCGCATCCTCCAGCTCAATTTCAACTCAAACAACTTCGAAGTCTGTCAATCTGTTCCTTCCTTTGGCTCGATTTTTTAAAACCTATCTCAAAAGAACTTGGGAATTTTTTAGGTGCTGGAGCAGATTCAAATGGAAGGGAAATCGGATCAAATCTGGGCTACTATGAAGCAGAATCAATCGGATGAAGCTCTCGTTAAATACTTGACCGAATTCAAACACTTACAGGTAATTTGGATCTTAGCTTTTACCCACCCTTTTACCCTCCTATGCTCTAAATCTCTTCTGTCTCTTTCTCATGATTCTTCCTGTTCCTTCTTGAATGTGCAAATAGAGATCTGCAAGTTCATAAGCAAGACAACGACCCATTTCAACAACAGTCATATCATTCAAGGCAACCCAAAGTAGTAAGCTCCGTACTGTTGAAATTTCGGAACAGTTACGCGTAAGTGTGCAGCTTTTCGAAACATTCAGTTTGGCTGTGGCTGACATCTCCCTAGCTTTCTAGAAAGGTACTTCTTTAAGGGTGAAGTTTTAAAATATAGTCAGGTTTAAGTCTTAAAGCAGAGTTGAAATCGCGTCAATTGGGGAGCCCTTCTGACGTCATTTCTACCATCTTGGAGGGAAAGTAAACAATAAACTGCATCTTTTTTTATTCAATTTCAGCAACGGCTTAATACCGCCATGGAAGCCATCGAAAAGAACAACATAAAACAACTTCGTAAACTGCTGGACGAAGATGTGGCGAAAGCTCGGAATTCAAAAGGTCAGCGCGAATTATCCTCTTTGGGAAGGTCTCCTCTCATCAGTTCAGTGAATCGAAATCGTAAGGACCTGTCGCGTCTATCATGTCATCTTGTCCCAAAATTCCTTGGTAAAGACTGCAACTAAAGCCATTTATTGGAGTTCTGAGGCATTTTCGTCCTACTTGGAAATCAGTCTCGCGCCAATGTAAATCACTAACGTAGTGTCGCGCCCTCAGCCGATTTATTGACTGCCTTCCCCTGCACACTACTTCCCAATAGGTTAACAGATTATGAGCATATCCACTTTATCTGATGTTCTAACGTGGAATCTATAATACAAGTGAAAGGTAGTCGAAATGGAATGAAGCTGCTCCACTGCGAGACCCTAATGTTCCCTGGAAAATCCCTAATTGGGAGTTAAGTACTCCTTTGTACAGGGTGTCCCAAAATTATTTGCGCCAAAGTTCAGTAATTTTTAAGGTAGAAATAATCTATCAAATTCACATTACCTGTTATTAATTAGTTGCATAAGAAGGTTTCTTTGCAATATGCATGGTTGCTGATGTGGAACTCCCATCATCTTTCAAATGCAGGAGGCTCATTTAATGCCACTTGCAATCATTGACGCGCGAGAAGTGGAAGGGCGTTATGAAATTCTTTGAGATTTTTCTAATAACCGCATAGGAGGCTATTAAATGATATAGAATGTTTCTGAAGATAGGACTATTAAAATGGTCCGTATGACAATCGGTCGGGATCCTGGGTGACTAATCAAAAGGAAGTCAACGGGCACGGCTTACAGGAGTTATCGCGATGGAAGAATGTCATGCAGAAGCCTCACTAACATTTCTATCGTATGCTCCAATCCCGATCTCAATAGATTCTGCAGGGCCAAAAAATGCAGAAAGTCACAGACCCACTTGAGTGATGACACGCAACCCTTCGTCGTTTTCTCTGATCAAAAAATTTTTCACGNACCAAAACGTTCGCATTCCGGAAAGAAACATCCAGCGTATAATATCTCACAAAAAGATTGTTGTCAGAACAGCAAAATGATGTTTTTCGAGGAAATCACTGGCAAGGGTAAGCCGCTCGTGGTTTCTTCGGTGTAGGCACGAAAATTGACCAAGACCAGTACTGAAACGGCGTATTAATGGAAGTAAATAAAACATTGATCCGACTACGTTTTCCGAAACATCTCATAGTCCTTCCAGCAGGACGCTACTCCAGCCCACAGAGCCAAGCTTGCCCGCGAGTGGTGCCGACGACAGCTGCCCGACTTCATTGGTGAAGAGGAATGGTCATCCTATTTTCCAGAACTTAAATCACTTGAATCCCACGAATGGTCCCTGATTAGAAGAAGACCTGTCGAGTCTGCAGTCCCAGTTTGGAGTCCTAGAATGCAAAAGCTGGAGGACGGCTGGGAAGAAATGAAGAAGGATACCTGCGTGCCACATGCGATCAAGTCGAAAGCAAACTTTGACTTCTATTCGCGCTCACGGGGGATATTTTGAATTGCGACTTTAGCATGTTGTAGCACATAGCGTTAGTAGCGTGCTTAGAAATTCCATCGTCTTTCGCAGTTGAGAACTTTCAAATATATTGCTATAACTCGGCGCAAATAATTTTGGGACACCCTGTATTTAGTGAGACAAATATTTCTGTATTTGTCATTTGTTTAAATATCGGTAGAGATATCGGAAAAATTGCTACTAAGCTCTATAATGGGAGCGCTCGGTTTTTTCTTCGAAAAATTTCTATTCTAGGTCTGACACTGTTGCATATGGCGGTGTTGAAGGAACGACATGAGATGGTAGAACTGATTGTCTCAGAATATCCTCATACTGTTAATATCACTGATCAGGTTAGTACAGCTCAGTATTACGATGGGAATGAAAGCTCAAAAACCAATTCAATGGGTCTAGTCAATTTTATGATCTTATTGGCACCGTGTTTGTTTCGGGTGGGTGGCCCATCGAACCTGAGACTGGGTAAGAAGAGTTTCCCACTCGTCACCTACGCTTTTTATTCGATGGAACCCATGAAGTTAGCCGGTGTATCAGCTGGCGAGTCCCGTAAGCTCATGCCCATGAGCCTACATCGCCTCCTTGAACAAGAAGCTTAGCGTCATATGAGGTAGCACTCATATCCTCATATATTTTTGAAACATGCCATCTGTACCTTCATAGCAGATGAGCCAATCTCCATTACAGCAAACGTCAACCCAAACAAATTGCACTCAAAAATTAGTTTCTAAACTTTGCAGGAGGGATTTTCTAGAGACTTAGTATTCATTCTAAGCTGTTCAGAGTGGAAGAAGTGCTATTCACTATGCAGCCACCCAGTCTAATGCTATCTACGATACGCTTATCGATCTCGGAGCAGACCCGACGATTACGGATTCTGTGAGTGAAACTAATTCTATAATCGTTAAAAAGTCATCAAAAAATGTCTGTTCTGAAGAGATGACCGCCTATTCATTGACGACCTCCACAACTTTTTAGGAAGGTCTTACTGCTGAAGAGTGTCGCCGTTCACCTGATCGCCTACGTCGTACCGTATCAGCCGAATCAAGCCTAATGATGCGTTCAATGTCCACCGATGATGAATTTTATGATCCAGGTTTGATGTCTGCTGAGAGCTTTTGATATTTGAAAGGAAGACTTCAGTCATAGCAGGTCACAAGACCGTTTGACGCTTAAAATAGACAAATGGGGACTATTAGTCAGTTAATTATTGCTGCGATTTGCCAGTGAGTCTTCAAAGGTGCAATTATTTTGCTTCTAACAGTTTTATTAGTACTAGGAGTCGAAGTGATAGCTTATTCACATGTGTAGCAGTAGCATAACACTTCCCTTCAGCATACGTCTAATAGGTAATCGATAAACTCAAAATCTATTCAGATTTAAAGGATGAACAATAAAGTTTTCTGGATTCCTCTGGATAGAAATTCCTTGAAGTATGGAAGTGAATGTATAGGTACCAATTTAAATTTGGAATCGACGTATCTCTGTTTTTTCTTCAAACTCCTTTGAGATTAATAAGAACCTTTCACCTTCAAGGGTAACTGGATCTGAGTAGTTATTACATGCAGTCATAATTATAGGAATGAATGTTATGAACACAGGCATTTCCTATTAGTCTTTAAGCGATGGCTGAAATCTTTTGGCTTTGATCAATCCGAGTGGTGAACCCCCGCATTCGACTTTCATCCAGTATCGTAATGGCGTATTGAATGCGTAAGTGGCCTATAAAATGACTTGTGGTGGGCAGAAGATGTACAAGTCAATGCTTCTATCCTCCCATATGAGTCTGGTACCAACTAACTGGATTCTGAAGTATAGCAGGCTTGTTTGACCCAGGCCGCTATCGATCCGGGATTCAAACCCGTGACCATGCGTGCGCGGTAGTGCGGCCCTTGCCACTACACCACCTCCACCCTCATTTCAGACGTAGGCTTAGATTTGAATATATTCTTCCTTAAGAACCTCTTCTTACCTTTGAGAGTTTCAGAGCCCTATTGTTTTCGAAGTGCTTCCAAAAATAAGAACTTCAAAACTTTCATTGCAAGGATCCCTTGACGGTTTATAGCCTTCGGGACCTTTATACGTGATTTCAAGGCTTACTGAACCGAATACTAATTGAATTTCGTTCCTGTTGCGATGCTATATCACTATTGCTCGAATATTTATGCGCAGCCATCACGAACATGCCCGATTACCACCATTTTGTCGGTTCCCAGTAGTCGATGCTTCTAGTCATCTCAGCTGGACCTTTTCATAACGAATAATTTCCTATTCACATGCATACGGTTGATTTGACTGCTCTCGTTGCGAACATGATTTTTTTTGAGATTTATTCATTCCTTTTCGAACACTACAGATATACAGTGGCGCTCAGAAGTATTCGGCCAAATGGCTGAACAATTTTTTGGCCGTAACCTTTTTGTTGGAGAAGCAAATAGCGCAGAATTTTAATATTTCACATACAGAAGGACCATCATCCGTATGTCTTTGGGTTGTCTGGAACATGATCAGAATGCGGGCCTATAGTGGTAAATAGCCACAATGCACCCATGCTACACATATTGAAATTTCGCATGATTAGATCCAGTAGGAAAGGAATTACACTTGAAAAGTGCGGCTAAGAAAGCATTCGGCCGAAGACTTTTGAGCGCTACTGTAATTAGCGATTCGCTGGGGCTAACCCAACTGGTGTTATCGTATTCAGCTTCAAGTAGGTCTTCATTGATATCGAAGTTTACTTTTGCAGTGGTTTGATATTTTGTTCATTGTTGGATTGCGTACTCTTTTGTTAGGTTATACCCTTTTTGAAAGTTTTCTCGCTTCTGTAGTTTATTGAGTCCGCGTTCCTGTTAAGAGCGAATTTTACCTTCCCTCAACTGCTTGGAATCATATCCCTAGAGGTGGTTCTTCAAAAAATGTGGATGGAAAGGATCTGAGCAGTCTTATGTAAGAAGGCTACCATACGGCGCGATGTATGAGCTTCGCAGAAGAGGAGTCCTGCAATTGATTCGATATCGTCAGGCAAAGTCCCGAGGCATAATCCTTGGAATACTTCATGTCTCGTGTGCAGATTAAAATGGTAGATGAAAACATGGTTTAAAACAAGCACTTCTCCCAATTTACAGTAATCGTAAAGGAGTATGTCAAGATTTTCTCGTGCCTCTAGGTTTGGTTAGCAAAATTCCCTAAACTCGGCAGTATCCTCACATGTTTGATGTCCTTTTTCCGTTTTTTCCTTCTTGGAAGAATGACTGCGGGAATTGTCTTTTCATCCTCAGCGAGTTTTTGGACAATTTGAACCTGATCTGTTCTCTTTGTACATCTTACTGCTTATTTGCTCAGTAATAGAAGAGAATTGTGAGCATACTTCACCTTTTTCCTGATTTGTTCCATTTCCTTGCATAACAGGCTAATCCCATCATCATTGTTTTTCATCTATGTGCTTTTACGAGTTAAAATGTGGAAGTAAGTGGTGCATCTGAACATTTCCGGGAAGTCCTCATCACCCTTCAACATCGGAAACGAATTTCAGTCGACTCGAATGCTTGATGTACGACGACGGGCCATTTGCGCTCTTCTACTTCATGTCGTCCCGAGATTTTCATAATCGCCTTCAAGTCGAGGAATCCGGTATTGTCGTCACTCTATTGTATCGAAGTCGCAAGGCCATGCTTGAGAATAAAACACTAATTCTCCCTATAGCACACCAAAAATGTTACAGATACATTTTTTATATCCATGAGTGTAAAAGAATAAAAGAGCGGAGATGGTGTAGCGGCAAGTGGCGCACTATCTCACACGCACAGTTACGGGTTCAAATCTCGGATCGATATCCGCCTGGCCAACCAAGCCTTCCATCCGTCCAGGTCTGATAATTGGTACGAGACTTGACTGGAGGGGTGAAAGCACTGATTTGTACGTCGGCCGTTTACTGCAAGTCATTGTATAGGCCACCGACGCATTCACTAGGTCACTACGATTCTGAATAGAAGTCGAGTGCGGGAGCGTATCCTTCAGCGAAATTGATCAAAGCCAAAAGATTTAAGGCCCTGTTTAAAGGACTAAGACAAAATGCCTAGTGTTTATAACATTCATTCATATAATTATGACTGTATGGAATAACTACTTAGCTTCCGTTTACTTGAAGCTGAAAGGTTTTACCAATTTCAAAGGCATTTTCAGAAAAAAAAANAAAAAAAAACAGAAATACATTGATTCCAGGTTTAAATAGGTACCTATACATTCACTTCAAGGAATTTCTAGTTTAAAAGAGAAGTAAATACCAGATCTCAGATGGGGTTGAAAGCTAATCGTTTGTTGAAAGATTATTTCATTCTGCAATTCCTGGGTAGCACCCACCTATGCGGTAAAAAAAATTTCGGTGATCTACAAGATAAAAATTTCAGGGATAAGGTTGGAAACAAACATTTTACCATCAGAGTTTATTGTCGTCTTTTGAATAGGTTTCTTTCTTCAGATGCGCCGTCCGATCATGTGATCGACGAATGGATCGCAAACGGAGAAGTGTCAAAATTGGAGCAGCTCGTTCTCGATGGTCGTGGACATCTCCTCAAGTAGGGAATTTGTGATTTTTTTCCAGTATCCTTTGTAACTTAGTGAAGTAAGATTGCTGGTTGATTAGATTTGTATGTCATAGTGATTTACTTAGGGAGAAAACATCGACCAATGAAGCAAGTAAGGAGTTCTTACGCGGTCTAACTGTTTACCAGGTATATCTGCAATCCTCTCTCTACTATCCAGTGAACGTTCATCCAGCTAACTGTCTATTTGCAGTCAAAAATAGACGCTATCCACAAAGCAGTCGAAGATGGTGACGTTCGTCGAGTGAAATCGCTCATCGATCGACAACAATTGGCTCTTGCCCGAGACACCTACGGTGATTTCCTTTTCTATACATTGGCACCCTCAGGTGAAGGTGGCAAATTGTCAGTGAGATTCTACGGAAGCCTACCAAGATTCCCAATCTTAGGGGCAACCTGGTACCAGAAGACGGGATTTCCACAAAAAGTCCCCCTTCCTTGGTGCACTTGCTTTGTCTTCGATGCTTCCCAAGTATGGAAAGGAGAGATTCATGGCCTGTTCCTAAATAAAGTCTGGGATATCGGCTTAAAGTGTTAGAGTGCATGCTTGAAGTAGGTTTTATCTTGTATCCACGGCAGAGAGCGATTAAAAGTAATCCTCATGAAGTGAGCGGAAGGATAGTGTGAGGCTGAGGATGAGAGATGAGCTGCCATAGCAACATAAAAGATTCAACCCTTTCTAAAAAGATCCGGATGCTGTGAAAGTATAGTGTATGGGACGATCTAGTGGAGAAGAATGGAAAGGGAACAGGACAACACCAAAAAGGTTCTACTCGAGAAAAAAGTTTGTTCACTGCTCGATTTGCTGGTGAACTGTCGGCGATTGAATTGTTCTCGTCGGATCTGAGCCTAAGAACTTTCGAAAAGTTCGAGTTCTGAAGGACGTGACTTTGGAATAATGGGAAAAGAATTTAGGAATGACTCCATTGCATAAGGCACTGCTACATGGCCAGACCAATACTGTTCGGCATCTTCTAGCCAAATATCCACAGTGCGTCAATGCCACTGATCATGTGAGTTCGTTTCTTCATTTCCTTTATTTCTCCGATTCAGATTCGTATCCTATTCCTACGGGAAGTCACAAAAAGATGGAAAGCTTAGATATTTTGTTTTTCTCCACCCTCCAAGGGATTCAGGAGCAAATAAGTTGTGTGGGAGACGAGACCTTCATTCAAAGAGCACTAGGAATGCTTACCACAGCAGAAATTTATTTTCAGAAACCTGGCACCGCAACTTTCATTGTCTGGGATAATCGACTGATAATTTAGTGAAAAAGGGAGGGACCTTTTTGTGAGGAACTTGTCACTGTTGATGCCAAGATGTTCTGGGGATAGGGGAAAAAGCCGTGGACATTAGCATAGATTTTCTCGAAAGGAAGTGTTTACAGCACGGCAAGTGGGGTTTGTGAGGATGACCTTAACTTGATCTTGGTTTTCTTGGAGATTGAGTGAGTTGGTATAAGGAGTGATAAGGGATAGGTCGCCAATTAGATTTGCTAGTCCTAACTTTTGTACAAAGGATTGGAAACTACATATTTAGTTGCAGATTGCAACATTGCAATAATGCAGAAATGGAGATTAGAACCCTAAAAAATAGTTGTGAGAGTAATCCTCCTATTTCGTCTGACAAATGCAAAAGCGTAAGCCCGATGCGGGGCTCGAACCCGCGACAGCCAGATTAAGAGTCTGGTGCTCTACCGACTGAGCTAACCGGGCTTGGGTGCCATCTTAGCGAGGCCCTTCATGCTTCAGCACCACTTTGCTGGAGCCGGTGTCCTTTTTTTTGATTCCATTGTTTCTAGATTTATTGGATTTAGTACCAACTGGAAGAAAAAACGAAATACCCAAATGTTGATTAGTGAGCTCGTGACTCTTCAGCGTCTGCCAACGAAAATAAGCAGGATTAAGAACGCGAGAAACCTTAAAGTCTTGCTATTTCTCTCATAATAGTCAAAGATATTGATTTCATCCTTAGTAGGAAAAACTCCTACTGCTTGTTCAACCTCTACCTGGAACATCATTTTCTGCCGATGTCTGTTGTGATTGACAACTCTGCTTCCCACGATCGATAGGTGCCTCGGAGGGCTTCTTAACTCTAATACGGGAAAACATCTTATTAGTTCCTAGTATGCACTTTCTTGGTAAATTGCTTTCCATTAAGAAGATTCTAGCCTCAAATCCCTTGATAATCGTAATTCTCCCTGTGAAGCCACAAGACTGCCACAGAACCTCAATATTCGATAATCATTATGTCGTGATGTCACTTTATTGGAACACGTCCATGTGTATAGCAGGGCTTTTATTCGCAGTAGGTTATGGTGTTCGTCAGGCTTCTACCATCTTCCTAATCATCCATTCTCTAACGGATTCTCTTTCCGCATTCGCAAAATAGAAGGAACTTTGAGATGACGAGTGTTATCTGTTCCGAATGGCGACAGTCCTATACTACGAAATCTCATAATCCTATATTGGAAAACATACTAATGCGAAATTGAGCCCAATCTTCAGAGTTTCCACTTAAGTTCCGCATTCAAAACTGATCTCTGCTATGAGCAATGGCTGAGGATTCATCATAGATGCATCGCCTGAAGTTTCACTCCAATGTCGCGTGAGATACGCCATATAAACATCATGCGATGGCGTATGACGTCGATACTATCCGTTCGGTTCATTCCGTCTACTCCTTCACTCCATTCGGAAGTTTCAGCGCTCTGACCAAGGTCGCGGAAATCGACTTCGTGGATCCATCATTTTCAATTTCTTCTTGTGTAAGTGATAAGGTACGATTCCTGTAATCGCGGATCCTAGCGGCGGATTCCTTGTATCCTGGCGACAGAAGGGCAGCCTGCACGTATTCGAAGGGTGCTAATCAGAGGCAACTTCACGCTGTCGTCGACTAACACCCTTTAAGTGCATGCTTATCTTCATTGAGTCGAGCGCTGCCCACTATCCATCACTTATCAGCTCATGTTTTCCTCTCTTTATTTTGTTCTTTGTATCTATTTTAATCTCAATAATGTCTTTCATTTCCTGTTGCTGATCGCCTCTTCAGTTGAAACTGCCCATTCAACATCGGCAGCAAAAATATTTGATCTAGTTCAAAGTATCTCATAGCTTAGGTTCCGAACCCGGCCTTCCGAATCAGCCGTCCTACGAGTATAAGTATTCCCCACTATGGCCATTACTTTTGCGCCCTACGAGTATAAGCCTCACTCACCACTTTCCGATAAATTTCCATTTTTTCTACAGGGTGACCCACATGAAGTGTGACGCAGAAAACTAGCACCAAAATTATACAGATCAAACCAAATAGGAAACTACTACTACTATACAATCATCACAAAATTGTAAACAACATATCACATCTCGCATGCAGAATGACTATCTTTCGCTTTAATGCAAACTTCCAACCTCATTCGCATGTTTTCAAGAATGCGCGCAGTCACTTTCATCCCACGCTTCTACAACAGAACTTTCTTTCA